AATTGACTCATGATTCCAATGATTTAGTTTAGTTTAGTGTATTTTTGGTCTTGAATTTATCTAAAAAAAGTCATTTATTAGCTATTTTCAAATTAATTTCATATAATTTAATGAATCATTGAAACTAGAAAGTGTTGGGTGCAGTTTTGCCACAGAGATTGCTTGGTGGTATAAATCAGTAATCCATCACGAGATTGAGGTTATGACTCTCGATTTGAATAAGGAAACTGAGTGTAGTTACCAATTCTAAATTCGACTGAAGTATGATCATCGTGTAGTACTATTTCTGGTTAACTCGTTCACTTTTAACTGGCCTTACTACTGTTGGATGCCAGCTCATTGGTCTAGATGTTAAGCGTTCGCGCGTGAGACCGGAGGTCCCGTGTTTGAGTCCTACGTTCAAGATCATAGATACCCGCTGCTGAGAAGTCCCATATTGAGACGAAACGGTCGTCCAATGCTTTCAGGTTTTCAATGGTAGTCTGTTTTATATGGACTCGTGAATTCAACTAGTAAAATGGATTTCAAATTGTTAAAGACTTCAAGAAACCTTCGAAAAAATCATTTTTAAGCAAGTTATTGGTACTTGAAACTTTATGCACAGTACATAAATCACATGACGTAAGAGTAAACAGTAACCGTAAGCTTACTTATACCTAAACATAATTTTCATTGGAAAGGTTATACTAATTGAACGGATCACTATCAGCGTAATTATAGTTACGATAAGACAGTAGTTGTTAAGGCATATGCTAAAATAATATCAACAAATTTCTTCGCATTTATAGGATATTTGTAAAAAGGGAAGTAAAATCTATTCCATCGGCTATTTATAAACTTCGTAAACACCTACAACTAAGGGATATTGTTTCTAAGAGAGAATGAAATTGACGTAATTTTGTTTCAGTTAACTGAACTAGGATTGAGAAAGGCTAATAGATATCTTCTAGATTCTTAGATTTCTCGATTTTTACTCTTACGTTATGAGTTTGGATCATTAATAGGTGGTCTAATTTTTATTGTTTTTATATCCGTTGAATTATTAACCAACTATATTCTTTAAAATCATAAATATATTTTTATGGTATCCCAGTGAGAAGAAAGGTTTTTTGACATTACGTGACTTAATGTAGGTCACTTCTTTTAAGAATAAATAAACAAATTAAATTAGCCCAAGTTTAAACAGAACAGAAGAACAAAGCAAGAATATTTTATGTGATCAATCAAGAACTGGCTTGACCAAATCGAGTTACTTTTGGTCAAGTGGATTCTGTATGACATATCTCTGTACTAATTTGTGAGTCAGAAGGTGAGTATAGAAAATGTATACAATTGTAATATGACCTAGTGGAGTTGAAATTGAGTGTATTTGTCTAAATTGCGTGGAAAATGAATAGGGTCAAATGTGGTTGTTTGGAAAAACAGTCCAGGTTGGTTTAATAATTAGGCCTTCTTTCCTATTGAGGGCAGAGGGATTTAACTTTATCTCAAGCGCTTCGGCTACTCGCTTCTCTTTATGGTCGGAAAAACTTTTCTGAATTATTTTAATATTTTTGGATATCAATTTGGTGATTATTGAAAACAGCATGTACTGGTATTACAGACTTTTCAATTCTAAAGTATTATAAAGGGGTCTTTTTGTGTAAACTTTGTGTTCTGAGGTATGACTTGGGGTCTCGCGGGAAGACTCTCTTATTTGAACGCAACTCAATCGATACAACCTGATCTGTAGACACAATTCCGTGTATATGCAGACTGGATCTTTTACCCTAAATAAAGCGTTTCTTAGAGTATTGATGATCTTGTAGAAAGCTTTAATTTCGTAAGTTTTCAAGAACCATTGAAATTCTTTTGTCATACCTTGGTAGCAAGGTAAAACTACTGTACGAATTCAAGATCCTTCATTAGAATTATTGTCTGAAGAAGGACAGTTTTGCCTTAATATGTTTTTAATAACATACCTAGGCAATTTATTAAACTATATCATCTTCTTCCCTTAGTTTGTCTTCTGAAGTAATGTTCTTGGTTGCTCTTCCAAAAGGATTCAGGGATAGGGAAATTTTTGTACCAAATGTATGTGCAGAGTTAAAATCAGTATACTGAATTGAATGTGCTAGTTTTCGGTATGTGATTAGATTGAAACTTTAATTAAAGTTCCTTTTAACTAAACAGTCCAAGAATGGTAGCTCACTATGTACATCTTCCTTTTCGAAAGCGGGTTTGATGTTTTCTAAGAACGTGTTCATCTGTTTGGAGAAGTTTCTAAGGGGTGTCTTTTTAATCATGACAAGTTTATCATCTACATATCTGAATCAGAAACGTGTTTTGATGGTACTGGCAAAAATAAGCAACTCAGAATGGGACATAAATAAAGTAACAACAATCGGAGATACTGGCGATCCCATGGCTACTCCAATTGTTTGTTTATATAAAGTCCCATTGAAAGTGAATAGTGTTAAATTCAAGCATAGCTTGAGAGATTTCATCATTGAACTATTGCTTAATGGACACCTATCAATTGGAATGTTAGTGTACAAAGATACAAAATCACAGCTTATCACTGTTCTGTTCTTGTTGATGCATAATGTCGAGATCTTTGATTTGAGTTCATATGAATACTTTACGACATTAATTAGGTTATGCTGAAGTGGTTTCAACATACTACCTAGATTTTTAGATTAAGTAAATGTGGGAGTATTCGTTTGGTTCACAATGGGTCTTAAAGGATAGTTAGGCTTGTGAATTTTCGGTGGCTCATAGAAACGTGGTGTGCTGTTAGATTTAGGGTATAAAGTATATTGTAACGAAACGCCAATATAAGGCTTTAGTTCCTCCAGAAGTTTAATTGTCTCTAATTTAAATTTATTTTTAACCACTTGAAGATTTCTTGAATCAATCTTTACATTTGGTCCAGTCGATAGATGTTAAAGGGTTTTTTCTGCATAGTCGCTTTTGCTCATGACCACTGTTGTACTACCTTTTTAGCATCGGGAATAACAATCGTTCTGTCCTTTTGCTATGTAAGCAAAGCTTTGCATACTTCTTTGGAAACATTAGGTGGAGGGGATATTAACTCCGTTTAGATATGAGATGCTTTTTACGCAATATGTGCGATTGTGTATCCAAACGTTTTCCAAGTATCGGTCTTAGAACTGGGACGATTAAAATCTAGTCCATTTTCTAGTAGAGTGATTTCATGACTAGTCTATACAGTCTATAATGATAATATTGAATCACGATATATATATTTTTATTTCATGACCCACTAGGTGTTCAGTTGAAGCTCGAATATCTAAATGGTAACTTCTCAAACCGTAAAGGTGGGTGACGCTGGTTCAAATCCCATAGGGAGTATCACTTTCATCAAGATTACATGCATGTTTTGGCCGACTATAGCCAACTAGTGTGGAGCCTAGATTTAGGGTTTCTTGTCAACTAACTCTAGCCGCTCAACGGTTAACTACCCTTTATTTAATGTTGATTTTGTATTCAGATACTGACCAAATAAATCAACGTAAAGTCACGACAAGGATCTACTGGGAAAGAAATTTTTTCCTCAGTCAGTTTTTTTTACTTTTGATGTTTAAATTGGAATATTTAATATATTGAAACTATAAATGAAACTAAAAAGTTTCAAAATTACTTAGATCATAGTTAATTATAAACATTATATACTATGGTTATATGTAAATACAAAAGTGTAACCTAAGGATAATCAGTGAAATCACGTATTTATTTCTAACATGGTTTAAGAACTTGTCTAGACAGTTTAATATTCATTAATTCATTTCTAGTTGAATCCTGACATTTGAACAAACTACTTAAGCTTTCAAGATTTCATGTTATAACACGATCTAATAAATAAACTTTTGATATTCTTTACTTATAGTAGTAAAGATTCATTGTCTTCATGTTGACTATTATACTAAATCTTAATATAATAAAAACATTCAATGCTATTTGGATTCGTCATATCACTGAATTCATTTATTAATTAATTTGATAGAGTGAAGAAAATGCTAACGGGATTAAAACATGTTCTCACAATTCAAAAACAAATATCTGTATTATTTTTGTTTTATTAAAAAAAAACATAACTGTATGGTCTTATAGTAGTAAGATATATGAGATACAAAACGTTGTATCATTTTTCGGTTGAGATCATGAACTGATTGACGTAAGACTACCATTGGAAACCTTGAAATACTAGATGGTCGTTTCATCCTATTGTAGGACTCCTCAGCAGTACGCATCATACGATTCAGCCTCGCGAGGTTCGAACCCAGGACCTATTAGTTTCGTGCATGAACGCTTAACCTGTAAATCACTGGGATGGCCGGCATCCAATGGTGTCAATATTTAACCATCATTTTGTATAAGACGATATCAACGTTTTCATGTTTTATCACTTACAGTTGTTTATATTATCAGGTTAATTTCAATAATTTCTTTACATATGCAGGTGTTTTATTTTTTATTTGTTAGTCAGTTAGTAAATGCATAGAACCATAAAATTGACTTGAGTAGTTTAATAACTGATCGACTAATTATTTCTCTTGCCTGTTTTTAGATGTTGGATTATTATACAGGGAAGCTTTGTTGTCAACTGTGTGACACAATGTATATATGTATGACCATCGCAGATTTTATCTGTTAGGTGGTTGATAATAGACGAAAAGTGACCACGGATCTTGGTTTTATGTCAATTAGTAATTGTCAGAAAAGTGTATGTGTACCCTTAAGGCAAATCATGCTCCCTGTGGGACTCGAAACCGCGTCGCTCAACTTTAAAATTTTATTTCTATGCAATTGAAAGGGGTTAGGAAACGATGTTTTACTGGCGGAAGACTAACTTCAGAAAATAGTTAAATATATTCATAGCTTTACGTTCCTTAGTACTCATTAACTTTATTGATTTTATTGGCAAACATAATTACATTTGATATCCATGCATGTATGTTTGCAATAGTTAGCATCTTTCTTTGTATTTATAAACCCAGAATTATCTATGCCGTATAATCCTTGTCAACCGAATCCATGCCAAAACAGTGCTAAATGTGTAAATATTCAAGATTGGAGTAGAACAACATCATTGAAGAAATTCAACACTTTGTCAAACTATTACTGTGTATGTCTCAAAGGATGGACTGGACAAAATTGCACGGAAGATATTGATGATTGTGTTATTCATCCTTGTTTAAATGGCGGTATTTGTGAAAATAAACCAAATATGAGATTTTATTGCCATTGTCCAACAGGATATGTTGGTAAGCATACATTTTTATGAAAGTATTTGAAAACACTTGTTATAGCTATATTTTTCATTAGTACTCTGGTTTCGTTGAAAAAGTTAGTTCAGCTTGTTAACCTTCGAAATATTAACAAATAATTCAATGAACATCAAAGAAGCTGATAAACAGAAGTATTGTATGGTGAATCATAATTGTAGAATATCAGACTAGATGGAACTTATGCTACTCAAGTGATAATTGTCGTGAAGATATGCTAAGCGAATCAAATCTCTAAGGCTGATAATTGGACAAACCTTGTTTTTTAGTTGGAATTTTTTAAAGAAAAATATCTTTTAAAACATTTTATTATGAAAGATAACAAATCAGTAAATAAAGAAGAAGCGAATTGATCGAAGAAATTTCCTGTCAATTAGTTTTTCATCAAGGCTCTACACTAATATAAATATATATGATTTACAATAATGAAATAATACTCATCGAGTGGATACGTTACGTAATAATTACATAATGACATTTCTATTATAAATTAACATTGAGTAATTGGAAGAAAGAGGATTAATAATAATCAAAGTGATTAATAAATCAAGAAGTTGCTACGTTGCGTAATATAAGAACCAGAGAAGGAACAGAATTTTTTTAATGGATGGTCAATAGGATGGTAGTTACGTAAGAATCAAGAGATGAATGTTGAGAAGTTATTAAGTTCAAAAGCAACAGAAATAAAATTACAAAAGTTAAAAATCAAACAAAAAAAACAAAAAACAAGTGGAAGAAGTATGCAGACTAGTTCTTTTGAAGGAAATCTTATACTGATGGCCAGGGTAGAGAAAGTGGTTGTACGAATCTCTTTTGAATGCAAAGGTCAGGTTTGTGAATATGGATCGCGATGGCTTCCGCAATGTGCAAGAGGCGCACTCGTAAATCATGTGGCAAATTTGATGGGATATTGTAGATAACCTTAAAAGCTTTATTCAATTCAACTTAATGACCTGTATCAACCAAGTGAGAGAGAATAGAACTTTTAATCCCTCTTCGTTTCAACTGCTCCTGTGGAGCCAGTTATATAGGGCGTACAATTCGGCAAGTCCGTCATCGTATTACAGAACATCATCCGTCATGGGTAAGCAAAGGACAGGTTTGATTTTTTTACTTCTGTAATTTTGTTTCTGTTACTTTTGAACTTTATAACTTCTCAACATTCATCTCTTGATTCTTACGTGACTACTATTCTATTGACCATCCATTAAAAAATTCCGTTCTTTCTCTCTTTTGCATATATTACCTTGATTATTATTAATCCTCTTTCTTCCAATTACTCAATGTTAATTAATGATAGAAATGTCATTATGTGATTATTACGTAACGTATCCACTCGTTGAGTATTATTTCATTATTGTAAATCATATATATTTATATTAGTGTAGAGCCATGATGAAAAACTGAAAAGAAATTTCTTCGATCAATTCGATTCTTCTTTATTTACCGAATGGCAAAATGGGAATTTTCAAAATAAGTAAATGATAAGTTCCAAAAAAGTTGAAATCCTACTTCATCACTGATTATTATTCAAAACAATTAGTCCCTTTGATAAATTTCGATAATGCAGTGAGAAGACGAAATCTATCATAATTATGTGATATATTTGGGCAATACATTTCGAACAATTTGATCACACATATACTTGTTAAGAACATTTATAGATGAAAATTAAAAGGTCAACTAGACGGGTTAAAGGTAAGTCATAACAAAGAAAAAAAATAATATTAAAGAAGACAAAACACTCTGGTTAATGAATCAGTATTACCAGGGTAGGTTTTTGAATACATAAAGGGGTTTTAATTTCTGTATAGCCAAGGCTTCAATAAACCTCAGTATACGTCCTTGAAGGCTTTTGTACAACACAACAAATGCTGATTTGATGTTAACCTTATGACCCGTCTCAATCAAATGTTTCACAATGGAGGATGATGTCTGTCTATCCTGTGATCTTATTTGACCATTGGAATTCATCTGATTCTGCAACCATTTTGGTATATGTTCACCCACCCTTAATTACAAATCACGATTGCTTCTCCCTGTTTCCACACATACATGTAAATTGATAGACACAATGGGAAGTGACACAATCGCTTTCGTGATGTTTGGGCTTTTGGTGAAACATAGACCTTGTCTTCTCGATGATGACAAGTTGGGCTTCATAAAATGTCTAATTGATAGTCTCCGTTTCAACATGAGACTATTTGTGTCGCCTCTGAATGGTAACGTAATATAAACTCGCTTTTTGGGTACCAGAAGCGTCATAGGTCTAGTCGTATTGCAACCCTTCCAGCGGTTTATGAACTTCAAAGAATAACCATTATTCATTAACATATCAGTCAAGAGCTTCGTCTCTACTTCAATAGTATCACTAGTACAAATACGATTGATTCTACTGAATAAGCTCTTTATTAAACTGCGTTTGTAATGAATGATCATTATTCATTTTCTTGAGAAAACTTCTCAATCTAGTTCTCAATTCCTTGAATATCGTTTTAATATGTTATTATCATCGAATAGTCAATAAAGAATAGATAAAAGCAATAGAATTTTTCATCCATTTCAAAACTAACTACAATAATTTTTATTCAAAACTCATCAATTTCAGAAATACTGCAAATGATATGCATATAATTCAAATGATTAACCTTATCCAAAGAAATACGACCTAGTATGATTCTATTTGTTAACACGCTAAGCTATAAAAAACTTTCATTCAGAATATGAAATTAAGGGATGGTGTTCATTGGCCAAGTGAAATCCAACAATTACTGTGAAATTCATAGATATTATTAGTTTTTCATAACAAATAACTTTCTTCTCAAATGAATTCAGTTTACTTCAAATAAATCCCTATGTTCATTTATTAGGTCAGACTTGTGAATATAGAGATCCATGTCAACTTAATCCTTGTTTAAATGGTGGAACTTGTCAGTCTGATCCATTTGGTCAGTTTACTTGCATTTGTCCTCATTGGTACAATGGAATACGCTGTGAACAAGTAAGAAAATAATAATAATGGCATACAATATGTGTTCATGAAGCTATTCAGTAATAATACCAATGTTCATGGCACCTGAACTTTTTATCATTTTCAGTTAAGTAGTTAATATTCCATAGTTCATCTTTTACTACTTATCATACTCAATAGATCTACGTTTTTCTTGAGGACACATAATACTTTGATATGATGTTATAACCCCATACAAGAAGATATCCAGAAACTTTTAAGCAAAAAAACTACTCTGAAATTTTAACAAATATCACTATTCCAAACAATTAAGATGTTTATTTCCAATTTGAATGAAACTGCGACTTTTTGTTGTTGTCTTAATGCTGTAATGTAACTATAATACAATATAGATCTAGGTTTTACCAACTGGTATATCATATAGTACAAGTGCTATTATTCAAAACAAACATCAAATCTGAATAGTTTTATATTTCAGCTGCTTTAACACAATTTTCTTAAGAATAATATTTCCCCTATGACTATATATATATATATTACTGACGAGCATCTAATAAACAAGTATAACTTCTTATAAAAAATGATAAACTGTCAACTTTAAATATATTTATCGTTTGTACAATCATCTAACTATCTATTTAAGCAAAGATGGATAGTGGCTAGCAGTGGAACCCATGACACGCGTTTCGTCCTATTCGGGACTCGTCAGCTGGATGTACCTGCATTGGAGTTGATGTTCACTCCGGGACTCGAACTCAGTACCATTCGCATCAAACACCGTGGGAAGATACAATTAAAACAACACAAACTGAATCTAACTATTTACTTTAAAAACGTATTTTAATATGAAGACAAGTATTCCTAAATCAAAAGTAATATTACAAAGTGTAGGAATATAAATAAATTGACGAAACTCAGTTCAACGTAGAGTTTACTTTACAAAATGATTACATAGATGTAAATATGTAAATGATTTAGCAACTAAACAACAAAAGGGGAAATTTAAAGTTTAATTAAAGGAATTATAATACTGAAGTCATACGATACATTTAACGTTTACTTAACTTTACAAACTTTTATTTACACCCTTGCTATACTATACTAATATATCTTCAATATAACTTTCAACCAGACCCTTTCATGCAAGTAATTTAAACTCATTATGCAATTATGATTTTAAATATCACAGGCTGTAAGCAGTTGATGAGAACCTACGAAATAAAATGAATTCATACTATTCTGCTAGAATCTTTGTTTTTACTCTTTTCAAAATGATAAAGGGAACTGTGTGTATGAAAAAGAATAAGTGCAAAATTATTCATACTTTAATTGTTATTAACCTTATATTACTACTGTGTAATATACTGGTATTTTATGACAATAAACATAGTATTCTTTCAAAAACGAAAGTATTTCTTATTTATTGAAGTTTTAAAAGTATTAAGTAAATGCTCTGAATGTTAACACAAAACACCCCTGATTATTGTTGTTTTTAACTTTAAAACTGTAGTTGAAATAATTATATATATAGACCTAATACTTGGAACAGGATGACTAAATAAACATAGAGGGATTTTATGGAGATTGTAGTAATTTGACAATTGAATTCATAAGTCAATTGAATCTAGATCAATATGGAAAACCAGGAAGCACTGGACGACTCTTTGATCCTAGTATGGGACTCCTCAGCAGTGCGCATCCACGATCCCTTCCCGCGAGATTCGAACCTTGGAGGAGTCCCATACTGGGAGGGAACGGCCGTCCAATGCTTCTAGGTTTTCCATGGTGGTCTAGCTTTAATTGACGCATGGACCAAATAAACATTTATTTAAAATGCGTCATCTAGTAAGATTTAAAGTTGATGCAAGCATCAACATATATATATATATATATATATATATATATGTATATATGTATATATATAGTTATTTAAAACCTTATTAAATAAGTCATACATATGTATTCCAATGTTTTATTAATTATTAATTAGGGATAAACAAAATAATCATAGTTCTTGTATTTCTTGTTATTGTGAAAAATATTCCTTCATGATAAGTACATAAATTCGAAATTTCTGTAGATGGGTTTGTCACTGAGATGGTAGAGAAGATTTGTAGCTCAGATGGTTGATTTTAGTAGAGTTTTGTTCTCTGATCTGAATGGTTTGATCATGGAGCTTTGATTGTTTTTCTATAAGACATCATCAGCACAAACTTTAGGTAGAAGTCTTCTTATAATATCGTTCAGAAAAACAATCAAAGCTCCACGACCAAACAATCCAGCTCAGAGGACAAAACTCTATAAAGAGTATTTGTCACTGTTTATTATTGAATTTAAAGTGAACTTAAAAATATCTGACAAAAGTTTTAGAAGAGAACAAAGATTTTTTTTTGGCAAAAAATAAGATCAAATATATTTTATATCTGATGTAATTTAGGCTCAGATAATGTTATGATAAGACTGAGTTTATCAGAGCTATGAGATATATTGGAGTAAAATATTTCACAAAGTTTGATCGTATATAAGTTTTCAAAGACGGTCAAATATTAAGAGATAAAAAGCAAACTAGACAAATTAGAACATAAGAGAAAACAGTGATAATCTGAAAGAATTCTATGAATACCACTAATCTGGAAATTAAAATTAAATCAATATAATCAGGGTTGATTTTGTGGGAGTATGGACCGCTTTTGAATTCACAATGATGGCTAAAGCTTCAAAAGATCAACATATTCTCTCTAGACAGTTATTATATAAAAAAATACAAGATATGAGTTAGATTAATTATATGGCCCATTTCAACTATAAATTTGACAATCAAGTGTGGTGGATATCCGATTATTTGCATTCACTTATCTTTGTAACTGTATTAGTATATGTTAAGCCATCCTCACTCTCAGGTCATGATTATCCCTTCATAAGTATCTATGTTCACATACAACCGTAAATTGTTAAGCACAGTAGAATCTAACACATTCATTCACATGTTGCATAGCTTTTAGATGAAGCATGGGCTATAATGTCTTAAAAATAATTATCTTGGTTCCATGGTAAGCCCTAATAATAAGTCAATAAAACCTGCGTCTCCACAATAAACTATTTGTCTCATCTTTGAATAAAATGATGATGTAGATGGACTTGCAATTGCCAAAAGGACATTAGTTCTCAACCTACAACTGTCTTTTCATCAGATAATACATTTAATTGACATTCATTCTGAATGAATGGTTCATTTAACATCTTCACTTTGGATTCTATAGTATCATTTGTAAAGACAAATCAAATCCCACTGAATATCCGCTTGTTCAACCCTCGTTTTCACTATACTGCTCAATAACTTTAAGAACTAAGGTTCTGCTTTGCCCTTGTAGGCTTTATACGGACAGAAGATATTTTCAGTTTGGTCCCAAATTTTGCTAATAAAAGTACGTTATTGATTATATTTTCAACTAATTTTGCAACATATGCGATTAACACGTTAGCTGGCAACGGTTCCAAGACAATCATCGCGGCACCACCACCAATCTGTAATTACCAAAAAGTATTGAAACTAACTGATATTATTTTATTTACCACAGAAATATCAATGTAGTAGCATTTTATATTTGCATTATCCCGATATTTATAAACAAAGGAACCATACATTTTGTGAATAAAATGATGTATTTGTGGACAAAGCATACTGTGTAAAGCTATTACTGAAAACAAGTGACTAGCCGTAATTTATGTTGTTTTTTATTTAACATTTTGATACAGGAAATTAACCCATGCCATCCTACATCTCCGTGTTTGGGGGAGAAGTCAGTTTGTCATTTATTGACTTCAAAGAATAGAACAGTTTCAGGACCATCGTTTTCTATTCATAAGTCAGAGTATATTGTAGATTTTCTATGCGAATGTGACCTTAATTATTTTGGTCGTTATTGTGATAAGAAGCGAAATTCATGCAAGTTTCATAATTGTAAAAATGGTGCAACTTGTTTACAAAATAATGATCATTTTGTTTGTCTGTGTCCTTTAGGTAAGAATATTTCTGTGTCCTTATCTCTGTAATGCACCGTACCTAATGTCTTTCCATTTTTATAATCTAGATGATAATAGTAAGCTTGCAAAATGTATTCGTCAGATATTCGATATACATAAGTTATTTTAGTATCAAGAATCCAATATAATTGGTTGATTAGGAGAATAAATATCACAAGTATTTATAATTGAAATCACATTGTTTACTTATACTGTGCAAATACAGTTGTAAATTATCCAAGAGATTGTAATGGAGCAACAGTAAAATTTTGTAGTGAGCCTAAAATGAATGGAATTGTAACTGATCCCGAAAATCAATATCGTGTATTACTGAGTTTATGCTAGCAGGATGAACTTTTATCAAGGGACTTTATTATTTGAAGTACAGCTGGAGACCAGAAATCACTATACAAACACTTACTCATGTTTTATAACTTCTTCGTAGTGCAAATTCTTGATTGCGTATGTGCTCAAATCGAAAACCACTTTTCTTTGTCGATATAATATTATACAGTTCTAAAGCTGAGATTTATTCAACTTAGCAACAAAAATTTGGTGAATTTGTGATGTAACGTGACCATCGTTCACTGTTATCCGTTCGAACGTTTTTAATGCAATAAAGTTCTATTTAGATCAGTATGTATTAAGAATTCTAATTATTCAAAAAACAAGAGCCAGTGAAAATGTTTAGTGCTGCACAATTTTTGTTTGTCCTATAATGAATATGATTATATTGAAACGATCTTTGAATTAACTAATTTTAATTAATGATTCCGCTAATGATCATTTGATTGACTTATGATTGTTTAGCAATTTATCATTTTCAAAATTAAACGTTCAACGTTTTTACAGAGTTGAATTGGATTTTAACTAGTCCAACCTGTTTTGAAATAGTGACGTGTAATTATTCAGGTGGTTAAAAACCCATAAGCATTATGTTCATTCAGGCTTACGTGTAGTGGTATGTCTTCAATGAAAGAGAGGTGAATGATCTTACATAACTCATAACTACGCTATTCCTCTCCAAGCAATAAATTTGATGAATTATTATGAACAGAACAATTTAGTTATAGAACCTTCTAAATCTGAAGAATTTAATTTTGAATCTCAAAGGTAAACTTAAGTTAGAATCTAAGTGGTATATCTTCCTGTTGAATATCAATGACTGTGATATGTGGTTGAACCGCTAGTCAAATTGTTATATGACATAATATAAATTACTCTGTTTACGGGAACTATGTGATGTTGAATACTACTTTATAAACTTAAGATAGGTCTTCTTCCCTACCTTGAGTTGTCAGATTTAAGTTCAGCAAGTGTTGAGTAACTTTATTTCAGTAAACAGAAGTAGAAGGGAACGATGTGTATATATTGAACATTGGAAAGTATAACAAAGAGCTAAGACTAGATGTATCTGGGTTTGGTAATTTAAAATTAATCAACATTTCCTTGAACACTGAGTCAGTCAGTCGGCTACAAAGTAGGACCAGACACATATATACATCGGTCCAAGTTGCTATACCTCATTAGCACAACGAAATGAACATCGGATTCACAGAAGCAGTAAATTCAGCGGTGAAATGATATTAAAAGAAATACTGCATATAAGGAAATACCACAGGAAGAGAGAACTAGTTCGTAGAAAGAAAGATATGATAAAGTTCAAAGGAAGGCAGAGAGTGTATGCACCTACGCCATTGTGGTCGATTGTGAGCCATGTCGCCAAGAGTCTCCAACCATTGCTTACGATAGTCACGTGGACCCCAATCAAGTAGTCTGCATCAACCCACATGCCTAAGATTAGAAGTTAGTGACTTCAAGCACTGATGGCACGTTTTAGTTTGACCGTCCCTAACTTTCTTCCAACCATCCTCAACACTAGTGTCAGCATTGGGTGTCGTGGTAATCGGTGTTCAGTTATACGTAACACGTGGCCCAACCATCTCATTCGATGAAGATTCACAATATAATCAAGTGATTTACCTTTCATCCCCTAATACCCTCCATCTAACCTCATTATCACATACCTGGTAATCCCAACAGATGTGAGCAATATTTCTAAGATATCTGTGATCATAAACATTGATATCTTGAATAAATCAAACAAATAGGTCCCGTTGAAATAGTTATTAGTGAATACCTTTTTACTTCATTCAATATTCATTGTATATTCAAGAACTATTTATTTTAGGATTTACAGGATCAATTTGTAATACACCTACAAATAGAACTAAATATATTTCTTCTAATATAAATACTTTAATTCATAATCAATCAATAAATATGAATATATTCAATAAGAATCTAACAAATAATCTAGAATTATTCAATGATTATTGTTATCAAATTGGATGTAATAAAGCAAAAATTGGTGATAATGTATGTCAAGCAAATTGTATCTATGCAAATTGTATAAATATAAAAGATGAATTAGAAAATGATTGTCAATATTGGATTCATTGTTTACAAACAACTCAATATATTCTAAATGATAATAATAATAATAATGATGATTATATTCAAACAACATGCGTTGAACAATTTAAAAATGGTAAATGTCAATCTGAATGTAATAGAAATGAATGTTATTTAGATGGTTTTGATTGTTATGAAAATATGTAAGTGAAGGATTTGATCATTTTTATATGGTAAGAGTATAATTTATAAACGAACCAATCAGGTATTAAGATGATATATATGGAATTTTGGCGTGAAATTCACTCATCCATTTGGATAAATAAAGTTTTGGGATTATAGATGATGTTAGTTTGTGATGAAAATCTTAAATTCAATTTCTAAACTTAATCATCAGCTGTAAATTCTTATTCTAATTTCTTATACAGGTTCATAACTCTCATTTGATCCTGGTTATTAAGTGGATACATTCAAGATCAGTCTAACATCGCTCAAAGGTCGTCCATAAATTATAGTCTTACCATTTTACATTTAATTTACAATATTTGATCTTTAAATTGCCATTGATTTCACTGATTCATTGAAGTAAATGTAGTAACATGCACTTAAAGTGTTACTTTATATAGTTGAAAGTCTTTAGTAGCTTAAATTCTTGTGATATTTATTAGGTGACAATAATTTCAAATGTTTTGTTAATTGGTGGTTCAAAACATTGTTCCAAGGTTTTTTTTTCAAATAGTAATCTTGAACAGTGAATTTGATGATGAATCATTAATTTCTACACGGAAATACTGTGTAATATCTACAAGAAATTTTCTGATACTAATCAACATATGCTCATTAATGACTGGCTTTAACAGGTATTTCCTCGAGTTCTAGTGAGAAGCAATGACCAACGGAGTTGTGAGATAGTAACTGACAGGGGATAATGGTGGATGTGTAGTTCGATTTTGTGGATTAGTTGAATTTAGACATTAACACAGTTAGATACTGGCCATCCCAGTGGTCTAGAAGTTAAAGGCTCGCGTGCAAGACCGATAGGTCGTTGGTTTGGATCTCCTGAGGCGGAATCGTGGATAGACACTGCTGAGAAGTCCCAAAGTGGGACGAAACGGTCATCCAGTGCTTCGAGGTTCTCCATGGTGGTTTAGGTATAAATGACTCATTATCTCAACTATTGAAATTACTATGACATTCACAAAAACCCCTTCTGATAAAAATCATTTCTTTACATATCATGGTTTATGAAATACAATATTAGGCAACTTAATTTAAATCAAAAGAAGGATATTTATTTAATACTTTCGAGTTTTTTGCTTGTCATGAGAAAATTAGTATTGTGATATCATGAATGGACATATAACCTTCAAAAAAAGATCGAAATAACATGTCAAACCCCTTGAATTTATGACAATGAACAAATAGTCCGGAAGAAAAACTATGGATATAGGTTTTATTATTTATAAAAGTTATTATTTCTTAACAATCAATGATGATTATGTCTATCTATTAAAAATAGATCTGTGATATTCCAATAAGTTGAAGTTAGAATTTCTGATGTTTCGTAAAATGACATTGATCCATTCAGAACCATTTTGATTTTGAACTTTGTTCCTTAATACATATTTAATTTTGTTCTAATTTAATTTCAGCTATTTATTTATTTACTCTGAAAAGACTACTTAAATAAAGTTATAACATGTAAGATATTCTAAGTTCTACTTATTAAAATATCACAATTATATCATCATTTCATTATTAGCATTCTAACTAATGTTCGATTTATCTGAAATTGTTCAATCAACTCCCGGTAATGATACATATAACCATTAAAATAGTTCGAATCATTTAACTTTAATTCCAGTAATAAGCTTATATCGGTTCGTATAATTTATTGACATTTTGTCAAAATGTAATCAAACTAGTTTTTGATTCATTTAAAATCTATACAATAGTAAATTTGTTGTTAGTAAATTGCAAGTATGCTTCACTTTCTATTCAAGAAGATTTGGGAGGAAGAACGAGTCCGGATAAACTGGAAAGTAGGATATTTCATTAAGATACAATATAAAGATCTGAGTAAATGTGAGAACTACAGAGGCATTGCACTATTGTCTGTACCAGGGAAAGTTTTTAACAGAGTGTTGCTGAACAGGATCAAAGACACAGTAGACGCCCAACTTCAGGATCAACAGGCTGAATTCCGTAAGTATCGGTTGTGCACAGGCCAAAATGCGACACAAATGATCATAGTCGAACAATCAATTGAGTGGAACTCGTCACTGTACATCAACTTTATTGATTATGAAAAAGCATTTGACAGTGTAGATAGGAGAACATTATGGGAACTTCGACACTATAATGTACTTGAGAAGATCGCCAATATCCAACGGAATTCATACGACGGACTACAATGCAAAGTCGTGCACGGAGGACAGCTGACAGATGGATTGCAAGTAAGAACCGGTGACAGATATAGCTGTCTACTATCCTCCTTCCTCTTTCTTCTGGTATTCGACTAGATGATGATGACCTTGACATCTGAGGGGGAAACACAGAATACAATGGACAGCCCAGAATCAGTTAGAAGATTTGGACTTCACAGATGATCTAGCCCTCCTATCCTATACACACGAACAAATGCAAATGAAGACACCTGATATAGCAGCAGCCTCTGCATCAGTAGGCCTTAGTATACACAAAGGAAAAAACAAGATCCTGAAATACAAGAGGGAGAACACCTACTGAATGACGCTTGACGGAGAAGCTCTGGAACAGATGGAATCTTTCACGTGCCTGTGCATCGAAATCGATGAATAAGGATGATCTGATACAGATGTAAAGGTGAGGATTTGCAAAGCAAGGGCCGCATTCCTACAATAGAAGAACATATGGAACTCAAAACAACTATCAACCAATATCAAAGTGAGAATCTGCAATACGAACACCAAGACAGTTCTATTGTCCGGAGCCGGAACGTGGAGAACTACTACGACCATCATCAAAAATGTGCAAGTATTCATAAACAGTTGTCTGCGCAAGATACTCAATATCCGTTGGCCGGATACCACCAGCAACAGCCTTCTGTGGGAGAGGACAAACCAGCTTCCAGCTGAAGAGGAAATTAAGAAAAGACGTTGAAACTGGATAGGACATATATTGAGGAAATCATCAAACTGCATCATGAGGCAAGCTCTAACTTGGAATCCTGAAAGGAAGCAAAAAGATGAAGATCGAAGAACATACTGCGTCGGGAAATGGAAGCAGACATGAAAAGGATGAATAGCAACCGAAAAGGATTGCCCAGGATAGGGTTGAATGGAGAGTGCTGGTGGGTGACCTATGCTCCTCCACGAGGGGCAACAGTCAAAAGTAAATAAGTAAATTATTTATTATTATAGTGCATTCTACAAACAAATTGTCTAGGTAATATTCTGTAAAGAAATGTCTCATACTCTTTACAACAATACCAATTAATATGTGAATATGCGTAAATCCAATATTTGAAATCATAAGTCAATTGAAGCTAGACCACCATGGAAAACTCCGAAGCCCTGGATGGCCGTTTCGTCCTATTGGGGGACTCCTCAGTAGTGCGCATCCGCGACCACGCCCCAGGAGATTAGAACCCATGACCTATCAGTCTCGCGCGCGCTTAACGACTAGACCACTGAGCCGGTTGGCATCCAACTGTGTTAATGTCTAACTTCAACAAATCCACGAAATTGCGCCACCGTACACCATTGTCTTCAGTGAGTTGATATCTTACAACAGACCTGGTTGAACTCCACTGGTCACTGCTTGTCACTAGAACTCCAGAAAACGGCCGTCCAGTGCTTCCAGGTTTTCCATGGTGGTCTAGTTTCAATTGACTCATGATTTCAACTATTAAAATTACTAAAATCTCAAAAAAAAACCCTTCTGATAATATGCGTAAATCGTCAATATTTGAAAATAAACAAACAAACAAAATCAATTATGTAATCCTTTGTTCACAATTGTAAAATGTTAGTTACCTTCTAGTTAAAAAGTCTGTCTGCATGTTCTATTCAAAATGAATTAAGTGTAAATGACTAATTTAATCCTTGGTTCCCTTTTTAATCTTAAATGTAAATGAACAAATTAGAATTACAATAAATAACACTTTCATTATAGATTGTTAGATAACTTTGTTTTTTACTTTAAAATATCCAAAGTTTATTTGTACCGTATATCAGTTTGTCAGTTATTTAGCTTGACTGTGTTGTTTTTCCGCGATAATAATAATAATAATCTCTGGAACAATAGAAGTTTTTGACTCTATTCAACTAAATATGAACTTCAGTCAGTTTTAGTAGTTGGTATGTAAAATATAATTTTACTTTTTTTTTAACAACCACATATTCATCTTATGTGAAAATAATTGTTCTGTTTAAAGTTAAACGAAAAGGTTGTAATTGAAGGGTACAATGTAAATCTAAATTTAATTTTAATGAATGAGATTATGGGTCTGTGGAAGCTAGACCACTATGGAAAACCTGGAAACACTGTATGGCCATTTCATGTTATTGTGAGGCTGCTCAGCAGTACGCATCCACGATCCCGCCTCGCGAGATTCGAACCCACTACCCATCAGTCTTGCGTGCAAACGCCTAACTTCTAGGCCACTGCGCGCACTGTTAAAGAGTCCCGCAATAGAACGAAATCGCCGTCCAGTATCATAATACTCACAAAATCCAGTTCTGATAAATTTGCTCGTATTGCTTTATTATTCATTAATTATTGAACATTTAAAGAGTCCTGTTTGGTTGAAATAGGAACTATAACTGATTAAGGGAAAAGTGTTTTATTTTTAGATCTTTTATCATAGTTTTAGAGTATTTTATTCATGGATGATGCAAGGTATTGTATACTCTAGTCTAGTAAATTATCTATAAATTACAAATAAACCTTGTGAGCTACATAGATATTATTTACAACTGAGTTATCTTTAAATAATACAATTTCAGTATAAGTATCGTTCATTTTTATTTTCTACACAAATTAACTCAATGTATTTCTAAATTGGATGACAATGGGAAAATATCGAAATGTATTAAATTATGTTGATGATGTGATATATAGTATTGATTAAAGCCATTAATAATAATAATCACCATTTAATAGGTTGACATGTTTGTGTCAGATCTTATCATTCATTTAACTTCAAAAGAAATCTTGTTGATTTCAAGAAGGAAAATCAACTTACCTGAGTCTAGTCCCCTTACTCTAGTTGACGATGTTTCAGTACAGAGGATATGTGGAGGTTATTGAGTTACGTTGTATGCATTACAGACTGACCTCAGATGACCGCTATATACAAGGAAGCATTGAACAGCTGTTCCATCTTAGTATGGGACTCTTCAACAGAGCGGATTCACAACTGCATTGCCTACTGAACTTAGAAATTTCAGGTCTAGTGGAAATAATTTAATAAGTCATTTGATATTTCATATCTTTAACTTCAGTTAATTTGCAGTTTTGTATAATCATCTACCAATACCATTGGTGTTTTATCCTAACAATATTTTTGCAGTATTTAATTTCTTTACGCAGATAACAAGTTAAAACAATTAATTTAAAGAAGGTCAGTACTGACATTTCCAACTTAACGTAAGATTTCAAAAGTCTGTCTAGAAGTAATAATTGAAACTGTGCGATAATCTTATCGACTACTGTAAATCATCGCTATTTAAACCTGTAATTATTTCTCAGTTATTAACTTTCTTAGAAGGTATTTTGATAAACATAAGATATGTTCAAATCACAGACAAGTAAGTCTAAATATCTTAACTAATATAGTTATTGTATCTATGAGAGGTGTTATAAACTCTAATTATTCTTTGAGGTGATGTAAAGCAGAAATTCTATCCAATCCAGTACATTAAAATTTGGATGATTACGGATCAAAGAAAAGCTTTTAATAATTAGTTTAACAGACAAATTCATTATTCTTAATCAACTTGATTCAATGGAACCTTCTATTAAATGATTCTTAATTCATAATGTTAAACTTTCTTGTGGTTAAAAAAACAAGATTAGAAACTGAATTTTAAAACTTCATCGGTATTTCCGTTCTATTATATTTACTTTAGATCGCAGTGTGCGCCATTTGAATTCTGTTTACAGTCATATGGAGATGGTGTTTGTCAATCCCAATGTAATACCATTCAATGTGGTTATGATGGAGGAGATTGTGAAAATGAACAAAGAAACTATTATTTATCAATCAAGTATATTTTACTTCATCTGAAAACAAATCAATCAGAATTTAAGTTGAATCGTAATCAGTATCTGGGAAATCTAGGTGTAATTCTTCGGTCGATTGTTAGGATTGCAAAGGATAACACTACTAAAGAACTTTTATTAGAAGATATTCCTAGTAAAAATCAAATTAAAGTAAGTATTCGATTGATAACTTTTTAAGTAGATCAAAATATCTTAGGCTTTCTATTGCTTCCATTATTGATAAGAAGTCAGAAATCAAAAATGTGGTTGATAGCTACTGAACAATCTTGTGGTTGATTATAAGTTAGGTCAAATTTAGCTTTAAAATCATTCAAATTTCATAGTTCAATTAATAGAATGCCGAATCTATACTACAGTAGTCATTCATACAAATTCTACTGTAGGTGAACTTTCTATTCAATGTCATTTATTGGATCCCTTTACAAGCTGAGTTAAAAACCAGCTGTCTAAAGTAATAAAAACATTAACTTAGAAATTATCATACTCCTTTTATTTGTGGTTAATTAATATTTGATCATGAAGTTGATCATTTCATGTTTCCTACTGACTGTTTCTTTTCGAATGGACAAATGTTTCGTGTAATGAATGTATGAATTTTAACGCTACTTTCTTTTGTATCTAATGTCACTTACTCGAATGCAGACAGTAATAAGTGTTATAAGCCATGGATTCAAAAAAAACTTTTACTGTTCTATCTTCAGGTGCTACTTGAAGTCATCAGTCAATCAAATATTAACTGCAAAACAACTGAGGGAAATATGTGTACCAACGATAGTGTCCAATTACTTCAACCAAACGAACTTAAAACTTATATTCTTGCCGCATTAAGTACAAATCAGTACAAATCACTTTTTAGTATAATCAACTTAAATTTTGTTGATTCACCAAGTCACTCACATTTTAAAGCACCATGGGAATTAGAATCTTCAAGGGATACAGGAATATCAAAAGAAGCTATTGGATTATACGTTTGTATATGTATTTTAGCTGGAAGTAAGTTAAATTTGGTTTATAATACAAGCTCAAGTTTGTTAAGACTAACTTTAAAATTCTCATACGTTTTCTAAAGAAGATGGGGAAGGTATATTACCTCTCTTTAAACTTTATAAAATCTTAACGTAACCACTAGATGATTAAAAAAATTTCTAATAATAATTATTCATGTATTTCGAAGTTTTAACCTGGAACAAACTATTTGCTCAAGTTTTCCTAGTTTTATTCCTCCATCATTTTCTGTTCATCTAGTTCGTAATAAGAACTATTTCTTAATTGATTAGATCATTTGAACTAATTAAGTAAATAGAATACGTGCTGAAGTCCTACTCGGTAAACTTAATTCCTATCTTGTAGTTTATCTAGCATTAATTATCAGCGGTACTATTTTCAAAATAATGCTAGTTTTATTTATTATATGTTACTTACTTGTAAAGAAACTTCTGACTAGTTCATTACATCTATTTTCTTAATGATTGAGTCATTGTATTTATTTATACGAATATTTAAAGTAACTAATTTTTGTGTCTATAAAATTTGAATATCTAAGTGGCTTATTGCTATTACTAAGAAGCTTTTTGTTTGTTAATATAAATAAACAATATAGATTTACAAAACCATAGAAATCAACTTTACCTTGAGCACATGAACTTGCTCAACTATACTGGTCGAAGAGACATTATCATACAGCGGTATATGTAAACATATATAAGATGTTTTATGCCACATAAATAACTAGTTTGCTTGTTTTAAGTTTCCTGACTGTTCACTGCAGCAACTGTGGCTGGTTATTAATTTCAAAGATTGCTGTAACATGTATAATAACATTTCTGGAACTCTTATTGTGTATTTTGTTGAGTTGATCACACATTTGAACATACCAAATAAATCTAAAAAGGTATAGATGGTCATTGATGAATCCAATTTTTCAAAACAGGAACAATGTATCATGTTGAATATATGCTTCAGTTGGTGATGACATCTCACGCTTTATTTGACTAGCTTATTTGGAAATCATGACCAAATAACATCGTATATGGTATTATCTAGAAGTCAAATTCACAATGTTTGTTTAACTAAACTTATGCTGTAATCGACAATCGAAGTTTTTTCATTGAGATCATAAACCGATCAATGTTAGGCGATTACTAAAGGCATGAAGACACTGGATGACCATGTCATCTTTGTATGGGACTCTTCAGCACACGACCGCTTAGCTGGCATCCACTGGTGTTAATGACTAACTTCAACCAATCCACGAGGTTTTGCGACCATTTCGCATTGACTTCGGAGATCAACTGTCTCACATTCAACACGATTGAACTCCACTGGTCACGGCTTCTCACTAGCACACCAATAATTGCCTCTGGAAGCTAGAGACTAGTGAGCTCATGATAACTATCAGTATAGGATTGTGGAGGTTGTTGAGTTTTCATTGAGACTACGAACACATCAAAGTTAAATCACTATAGAAATGGTGGTTGAAGTTAAACATTAAAACCGTCGCATCTCGGCTCATTAGTCTATAGGTTAAGCGTTCTCGCGCGAGATCGAAGGTTCCGGGTTCGAGTCCCGCAAGTGGGATCGTTGATGCACTGCTCATGAGTCACATACTAGGATAGAACAGCCGTCCAATCCATTAAAGTTTTCAATCATGGTCTTTCATTGATCGGTTCATGATCTCAATAAAAACTCAACAATTTCAATAACCCAATACTGATATTGAAGATGCTACTAAACTTGGATTGAATAATAAATGTCTCAAAGCTGAAAAGATCGGAATGTAGATAGCGTTTCCAATATAACAGTACCGAACTGTGCAAAATAAAGTTAAACGAAATTGTCTCTTAACATTCCCTGTTTTTATAAATCGTTTTATCTTTTAAGTATATTTAACACATACGTGTTTCTTCAGTTATTTGAGTTCACGAAAATGCTTATTCCACAGTATTTTCATCTTCCTTCTAATTTATTTCAATATTCGCACCAATTACAAAATTGGAAAGCAGTTCTAAATATGTTTCGCATATAAATTAATAAGTCGAGATACCCGTGAATCTAAATATATTTCTTTTCTATTCAATTTATTCAAGATTATATGAGTATATGACATTTTCTCGTCAAATGAACGAAATAGGTGGGAATTAATAATCACTGATTAGTTTTTAGATGCATTTTACAAACAAACCTAGGAACTTATGTCTGGCTTAATTTATAACTAAAACAGATGTTTTCAACAATTATGTTGTTGTTAATTAGGATTACCTATATACACTCAGTAAACAAAACTCGCCTTTGATGTTACATGACTGAATATGATCGGTATAAAACACTGAACCTAAGTTTTATGCATGTTGAGAGTAATTACCCGGAATTCTTAATGGAAAAGAGCTTCCTTGTTGGATTCGAAACTTCGTCACCTAGCTTTATAGTCAAGAACTTTACCATTCCGCTATTTAAGATTCAGCTTAACTCTCATGAGGGTGAGATATCTACATTGATTGATCAGGTACAGGTAGAAGGGATTAATTAATTACTTCAAAATTAGGGTATCCCTTACTGAAGTCTAGGTTTATAAGTTTGGGCCTAAGTACATTCAACTATCAAATATTCAGTCATAGTGCACATGATATTGAGTCACTTAAACTAATCACTACATTTTAATCTGATCAATGGAATCTGATCCAATCTAAGAACTAGATCAATCAATGTATAAATCATTTTTATTTTAGTTTGCATCTTTGATTCATTTATAAATAGGTGTTAGTTGTAAATTATGCAAATAATTCATTGTATTGAATAGCATAATATAATTTTATAAGGCAATAAGTAAAGACATGCTTTAAACAATATGTAATTCGTTGTAATTTTTTTTTGTTTGACCTCTGATATACGTTAGATAATATTCGACAGTAGTAACACGATAACAACTATGAAAGATCAGTAACAGATCAGTAAATACATTCAGACGCATTAGATCATTTGAATGTTTTACATAATGTATCTTTATGGTGTTTAGCAACAAAAAAAATGAACATAAACAATGAATGAATTAATTAGATAATATGACATTGGTTCTTTTCCAGACAATACTTATTACTTATATGAATAAGAAATAGTTGTGAAGACCTTTATGCTTAAGTTAACACATATAACACATAGTTATTATAGTTTTTTGTTAGATAATCAAAGGTTGATAAATAACGAGCGAATAATGAAAGTAGAACGGTACTTTGATCATTTGAGTTATTCATGGAAGAGTGAAAATATTTAATGTTTAGTTCGATTTAATAAAGACATCGATTTGTAAAAAAAGTTAATAGAAACCCTACGGAATTTATTTAATAGAAATAACAATTAATTTAACTAAAGGGAATCTGTTTTTAATTGAGATCATGAACCGATTGATTTTAGACCACCATTGAAAACATGGAAGCAATGGACGGCCAATTTGTCCTATTGTGGGACTCCTCAGCAGTGCGCATCCACGATCTTACTCGCGGGATTAGAACTCAACGGCTTAAGTCTCAGGCGCGAACGCCTAACCTACTGGACCACTGAGCCGGCATCCAATAGTGTCAATGTCTAACCTAAACCAAACCACGAAATTGCGCGACCACCTTCCATTGTACTGAGGTAGATACCTGCTTCTACCCGACACGGATTAGCTCCACTGGTCACGGCTTCTCACTAGAACCCCGAGAATTTTCTCACGAAGCTAGTCATTAGTGAGCACATGGTAATGTTTACCGTGGTCTAACATTGATGTGTTCATAATCTCAATAAACACTCAAAAACCTCCACAACACTATACTGAGAATGGCCGGAGTGTAACAGCAGCGCCCCTGAAGCTGGTCTTTGTTGTCCAACTTACGTCCAATGTGTTTCACCGATTCCAAGCACCTTCAGATTGTATCTGTTCATTTCTGCAGAAACTTGGATGACTCTCACAGACTCTCACATTGTACGAACATTCCATCTACTTAAATTAATGGTTGCTCTGGTTGTCAGAAGGGGCACCAAATTCGTGACTTCCGAAGGGACTCTGATTTCATTATATGTCATAACTCTTTTAAATGAAGATTTAACTCGTAAGACAGATTTTAAATGGTTTGAATTATTTTTTCTGGTTAGCATTTTTTTAGCGAGCTAGTTTTCTACGGGATGGGATTGCTAACCTCATACCTAACTCTCTTCCTTTATTCGGGCTTGGGACCGGCAGTAGCCCCAGATAGACTCCAGGTGGAGTTACATCGACAGTTACTTATTTTTAATTTATGATGATTTAAAATGTTATAATATATGAATGTACTACTGAATTATTATGTTTCCGAATTCACTATATAACTATCTAAATTTTTCTATGGGATAGTCAACGAGTGATTAAACACGATTAATTAATTATTGTTGAATACCTTTTTTATTCTCTTTTACTATCTAATTACAGAATCTGTGGTTCAGGTATACCACTGACTAATAATGCTGAACAATATCTTTTTGGTACACAAATGATTAAACAGAATATATATTTCAACTACTTAAAGTTTCGATGTTGTTCCTTACAACTATTGATACTCAGTTATTGAAAACTATTCATCATAAGCAAAATTGTAAGATAAAAGTAATATGAATGAAAAGAGCAGGAACAAAGATTCTAGCAGAATGGCATGAATTCATCTCTATTTCGTAGGTTCTCGCCAGCTGCTTACAACTTTTGAATTTAAAATTACAATTACATACTGGGTATAAGTTACTTATATGAAAGTGTTTGGTTGGAAGTTATATTGAAGACATATTCGTATAGTATAGTATAATATGAATGAATTTTCAATTAATATAGCTGAATTATGGAATGAGAACAATAATCTTTCTCTGGTTACTTTTTGTTTTTCAGTAATTATTATATTAATTTTATTCTTGGTATTTCAACATGATAATAACTGGCGAAAACCATTGAAACGTGTAAAAACGAAAGGTATCTGGTGTCCACCTGTATCATCGATTTATTCTAAACCTAATCAAACGGATTTATTAGGACAACAATCTTCACTTTATTTCACCGGACTTAAATCAGTTGTAGGAGTTACAGAACCACCTTTAACAACAATGACAATAAATGAATCAAAATATTTTGACAATAAATTTAAACAAACTCCATCAGCTTCATCATTTTTTCAAGATTACTTGAATTCTTCAACTGCTAATGAGAAGGATACATTCCATTTGTCAAATGTCCCAAAGTACAATCATGAAGAAATGATTACTGGATTCCTCTCAGATAAAGTGAGTGTTATTTCTGAAGTTTATACTTAGTTATAGGTATGTATAACGATCTATTAAATATCGTAAATTAAAATGATATATAGTATGTAAAGTTGGTCTTCTTTTGTCAACCCAGTACTTGAAACCATCTTGCATCACAAATAGTAATAACCTAAAAATAATATTCCTCTGAAATACAATTATTAAGATCACAAACCGACCTAAGTAAGACAACCGTTAAAGTATTCTTGAATTTATGATCGTAATCATATTTAATAAACACATAAAAACCTCATTTTGTCAAAAAATTACCTTTAATCGTCAAACCGAAAGCAGTAAACACTGCTTAGACGTATCAAATAGATTCTCGAAGTTTAATTTTTGTATGACCCTACTTTTTTGACTAAAAGTAAAGACAATATATTTGAATGATGAAGTTTTTCATCATTATTAAATGAATAAGTATGGAGCCTTGAATGCTAAGAATCACAAGGCATCATTTGCTACCTTAGTTTTACCCATACATTACCATCTACTTACAAAATACTAGTAGTTAAGTGATCATTGTTAGCATCAAGTTTGTCCAATGTATACCATCTTTGTGAAGATATTTACAACTAAATATGATTTATCACTTATTATTTATGATGTCCTATAACAAGATATTCCAAGTTCATCCTAAATTTAGTATGGTGCATATTACAGTAGTTTTCAACATTTATACTTTTGATTTCATTTTAAATGTCAACTTGGAATAGATGGATAATTGTCATTCATATTATTTGTCTCATCCTTAATGCAAATGTTTTCTGTTAATTATTTATTCCAAAATACTATTTCGTATGCCGTTGTATGTTTTAAATGAACTACACAACAAAATACCATCCAGTTAAACAAAAATGTCATGTTCGAATGTCTCGGGAGGCGGGATCGTGGATGCGCACTGCTGAGGAGTCTCATACTAGGACGAAACGGCCGTCCAGTGCTTCCAGGTTTTCCATGGTGGTCTAGCTTCAATTGACTCATGATTTCAACCATTGAAATTTGTAAAAATCTCCACAAAACCCCTTCTGATAAAAATGTAATTATTGAAATCAGAGTATTATTATACAATTGTAATAAAGGAGAACACAGGTGAGGACAACTGAACATATTTAGCACAAAATTACTAAGTTACTTGATAAAGTAGAAAAACCATACCCCAATACTTCATTTGCAAAACGTTCATTAATTTTCTTAGACTTTATTGTTCATGCATTTCCATACCAATTACTTTCTGTTCCCGTTCTTCCCTCCTCAATCTTTCAGGCTTCTACTGCCAGACATTCTATTCCAGACTAGCGTTATATACTTCTTATGCCGTCATAAGTAGCACACATCACACTGTCTTCTTTGGTGCTATTCGTGACTCGTACTCATGATGCTCTTGAAACAATCTTTGCGGTTGACTGGCATTCGTGCACTTCTGCTTGTGTTCTCTCCGGATCGTGTAAATTGAGCCACATCTCTCCATGTCACTGTATGGTTCTTCCCATTTCGGGATCAGTTTTCCTGACTCTGGTCCCAATGCCATGTTCCCTTTTTATTCTCTACACTTTACCAGGCTCCCTACTGCAAAAGGCTTCCACGTTCTTCTCTACTGTTCTGCCTTCTTTGTGTCTGTTATTTATTTCTTTTCCACGTTTCTAATTGCTTCCCTCCTCTCTTTTGTTAATCTTGTTGACGTCCACTTCTGTTGTTGTGGCCAGGTTTATTGTGCATTGGACGTCGTGGTTGTCTACCATACATAAACAGGAAAGGTGACTTCTTGGTTGTCCCTTGTATGGGGACACGATGCGCCAGCAAAATCAATGGTAACTCTTTCTCCCGACTTCTTCCTTTAGAGGCTAACCAGTTCTTTAACGTTCGGTTGTTTCTTTCTGTAAGCCCGTCCGTCTGAGGGTGCTACGGTGTAGTTCCCATCCTCTTGATGTCAAACTGCTTTAGATAGGCTTTAAATTTGTTACTTTCAAAACAGGGACCTTCGTCGGTGAATATCATCTTCGGTGTTCCGTTACACGCCGCAATTTGCCGGATTACTACTTCGGTCACTGTTTTTGCCCGCTGGTCTACCCAACGTGTAGCATGTTCCGTCACCACTACCAGGTACTGATTACCTTTCGCCGTCTGCGGAAAAACTCCCACCACATCCACCAACCGTAGATCACCGACTGCGGTTGCTGGGACTGACTGTAATGGAAGTTGTGCGTATCGATCATCTATTATTAGTTGGCACGCACCACACAATAATCTGATACTAAATTGTGTAAATTTTAGTGCGTCATTAATCGAATGACTAGTAAACCACAATAATATCGATAAAATAGTGTGTAACGTTTAAAAATGTGTGAATAAATGTAAAGGCAATCGTAATAGCAACTATGATTCTACAGTTCAATCTTTATTTTATAATTAAAACAACGGTATCCTAGCAGATATTTAATAATATGATGGGAATTGAATATATGCTTGATTTTCGTGTAATGATGCATAAGCTTCGGTTGTTTTCATTAGCTTTTAGTCCTCAATTGAATACAGATCAAGAATATCAAACCTGAAATATCAGTGTTGGCCAATAGGTTAATATTCATCAATAAAGATGAAGCAGTTAAAACCAAAGTGATTAAGGGGATAAACTAATATCTTACTGATAAATTCAGGGTGAAAACTATAAAATTTACAGGGATGAAAGATTTGTTAACAATAAGTGGATTTTCACAGGTTGAAATCATGAGTCAGTTGAAGCTAGACCACCATTGAAAACCTGGAAGCACTGGACGGCCGTTTCGTCCTAGTATGGGACTCCTCAGGACGAAACGGCCGTCCAGTGCTTCCAGGTTTTCAATGGTGGTCTAGCTTCAACTGACTCATGATTTCAACCTGTAAAATTTACTAAAATCTCCACAAAACTCATTCTGATAATAAGTGGGTTGATGAATTATGTTAGTAAAAAAGAAAAGGGTGAATTTAGTGCATTTTACATTTTAGAGAAATTATTTTTGTTTTGACAGGAACGTGAATATAGTCATTTAACATATATGCTTTTCTTTTAGTTAGATGTTCTAAATGATTTCAAGTTTAAAAGTAACTCTGAATTCGAGTTCACCTTACTGATAGATTACCATAACGAAATATCCACTTGTTACGTTCGTATTAAAAATATATGTTATTGTCACTTTGATATCGAAGGAAAATTTATAATATCATATGAGAAAAAGTATGTTTTAAAAGTTAGCTACTGAATACTTTGTTAGTAGTATGAGACTATAGGACACTTAATATCGATTTCGAAAATAAGAAATTGCTTGTTAGCAGATTGAAACTATTGTTCAAGCCACTACTACTGAATACCAAACTGTCTGTAATACGAAATCTAAATTGTTTGTTCGAGAAAATTGAATGGTTATAGAGTATGTTTAGTTAGGTAATATGATAACTGTCAACAAATTAGATTTTAATAGTTGACTTCATGAGTCGATTGAAGATAGACCACCATGTATAACCTGGAAGCATTGGACGGCCGTTTCGTCCTATTTTAGGACTCCTCAGCAGTGCGCATCTGATTTACCCAGTATTCCCAGGTTTATATGATTGTTTAGCTCCAAAACATATTTAGATAGTTTAAAATTGACATTATGAATGAATTCCTCAATGTTTATACTTTACGTAGGTTCCTGGAACAGATGACTATTCGCCAAATTGCAAAAAGAAACGTTTTACTCAAGTAAGTTGATTGTTTAAATTCTATGAAAAATTCGTTTTTCTTATCTTGCAGGAAAATTCTAGAAATTTTAAATATTGGATTATATATTCTGCTGGTTGTCTTAGTTCTACAATTTTGTTATCATAATGATAAATACTATTCTATACAAAAGAGACTTATCTAAAATTACAACACAGTTCTGAATGTTTATATGACAGATAAGAGATTACTAAAAAAATGTATATGAGTAATACAAAATCACTTACTGCGAAATGTATTCAAATAAGTGTTAACGATATATTATTCATTAGGTTGTGTAGTTCAGTGACGAAACACTTATTATGATCTTCATCAATGTTGAGAATATTTGTTTAACTCCTTTTCTCCTCAAGACTGTTAGGTACTTAACGTAAATGACTAATCATTCGAACACATTAGTCTGTTGATCAAATGTATGATCACTAGTACGTTATTCAGCAATCTTATGCAATTTATTACGACTAAAGAATGTTAATTTTAAAACTTGACAACAACGGTTAAAATAATATTTTCTTCATTCACATCTAAATAAATTAATTCGCAATCAGCAAAACAATTTGCTGTTTTCCCAAACATAAAAATGGGATATTAAGTAGATTTTTTCTATCCCTACTGTGGTCTATGGCCATTCATTTATCATAACAGTCTCGAAGTACCGATCTACCTGAAAAATTTGGAAAAATCGCGTAATACCTTGTTTACATTCAGAAGTTGAGTTTCTAAAAGCATTGTTTTTTTTTAAGAACACCTATAAAAGAAGTTATCGTTTATCCTGGGAACGACTCATTGAAAGCGCGAATTTTGATAACACCGAACTTCAGTTAGTTCGTCCGTTATCTTGAATAAGTTTTCGAATAAATATTCGCGATGAAAAAAATGATCATGTGAAAACGGTTGCCTACCTGTAAAAGCATCTATAAACTAAGTGTTTTTCAAATGTCTGGTATTCAAAATTAGTTTTTGGTTAAACGATGTTGACTACGAGAGGAAATTTTATAGGTAGACTCATGATTATGGTCATGATTCAGTAAGATTCGAAACATCTTCCAAATTACGTGGATAAATTATATATATAGGGCTTCTGTATTCTGATTGTAATAAAAGTGATTTAGTTTAGAAAGACAACGACAGCTTCAATAATCAATCACTCAGAACAGAGAATGCAGCCATACGAAAATATATATTTGAATACATTCAATGAAATACAGTCCGTTCGCCAGATATTTATATCTATACAGCTTTCATATGGTATTAATCCGTTGGATCTTATTAATGGAAAGTAAATGAAGTATCATTTTTACTTTTTTATTTTTTCATTGTTTACAAATGCTAAAACAGAATGAAATGATATCAGATATGTTACCTAATAGTGCAAATTTGTTTATTGCTCCCAAGTATTTGGGAAATTTATTCAATGAAGATACAAGAAACTTTCAGCCTTTCGGAGAAGAGGAAAAGCACAAACAAGGCAAGCGTACATTTGATCTGGAAGACAAATATGATTCACTTTTGCCTCAGGAAAATTTAAAAACCACTATTAATGAAAGTTTAAATTTAGATAGTACTTATAGCAAGAAAGAGAAGATAAAGGCCATGGGATCTGATAACAAAGAAGTTTTTAAAATAATTTCATCATTAGATGGTCTACACCCATGTAATGTCACTCAGAGAAGTCAAATTGAACAAGTTTTAGATGATAGTAATGATCAAAATAAAGGTGTAGAAATGTCGTCAAACAATCATGGTACTGAAAATTATTTGGATGATGATCTATCAAAGAACGTTGTTGGTGATCAAAGTCTCCTACATTTAGCAGCTCATATGAATGTAGGACATGACATAATTAATAAAATCTATCATAATGAACATAATCAAAGACCTCTTGGTACTTTATATGTTGATTCATTTGGTAGAACAGCTTTGACTGGAGCGGCTGCTGCTAATTCTTTAGAATCAGTCAAGTCGTTATACCAGCTTGAAAAAGAGGCTCTACTAAATAAAAAATCAGTAAAATCTGTGAAATCACGTCAAATTACTGCATCAAAACCAACATGTCGTTCAAGAAGACGTTATCAAGTTTATGAATCTCGACAGTGTTCACCTATAATTGTTGCTATTCAAGCAGGGAATGATGAAGTAGTAAAGTGTTTATTAGACGAAGGTTGTCCTTACAACACTGTTGACCAGTATGGTCGTAACGTTGTACATTGGGCGGCAGTAACTAATTCTGTTAAAATATTAGCTCATTTAGCACAGTGTAAAGGTTTTGCTAGACTAATGAATATGAAGGACGACTGGGATAGAACACCTATCATGTTAGCTATACGTGAAGGTTGTCAGGAAGCTGTTGAGTTCCTACTAGACAAACAAGCCAAAGTTGAAATCATTGACTGTATGGAAAATGATTGTTTATCATTATGTATAGAGAAAGGTTATAAAAGAATACATGAAATACTTATAAATTACATCAGATCAAGAAACTCAGACACAAAGTCGCTAACACGTGATGAGACAGTGAATGTTTTTAAAGAGAATCCAGACGTAAGTAAACAAGAACTGTCACCGATGTTACAATCTACACCATCTATGGTACCGGTTACGACAGTGATGACAACTACGCCAGTACGACATTCAGCAGAGAACATTTGTCGTATGAATGAACTTGACTGGGTAAGTTTAAGTGATGATCAAGTTTCAGAAGACTATAGTGATTGTGATCAATTCACAGAAGATATGACTAAAGATTTTAATTGATGTAAAAGTGGTCACCATTGACGTATAATATTTACCCTAATTCACACATTTCTAATCATATGTTACATACATAATACGTATATTAACAGAAATAAAGAAAAAAAGAATGTTGGATGTAATTAATTGTAAATATATTATATTTGTTCAGCTATGTATGTATAAAACTGTATATAAGGGTTGATGTATTGAATGACGTGAAAGTATTATATTATTATGAAGTGCTTATGTACTTGTTTCTTACCAACCAACTATCTAAGTTAAAATAACTTTCATTGTACAATACATTTATTTTTTATGAATAAATCACATTCAATATCTTTTATTACTCCTGCCACAGTGAATTCTTATGATTATCAAATATACAAGGATCATGACGAAAGCTTCAAAAAGGATACAGTAAAACTTGGAAATATACACTACAAACTAGATATTAGATATCAATAGGCTTATACTTGGAAATAGGATGTCTGTAACCTTGTAAAATTAGATAGAAATGTTCATCGTACTCGGTGGAATAGATCGCTTCACTGTCCAAACTCAAAATGATGAAAATACTTTTCATCCACAATAACGTAATTTTTTACAGCTCAGCAAGAATAAAAACACGTTCAACTTTCCTATGGGTACAGCTAAGGATGTCGGTTTAATTTGTTGAAAATGATCAATGAAGTAGAGGTTTATTGCTAAATGATTCCGTCGATAGACTAGTATCACAGAAAGTAGATAGTAAAACACTTTTTATACATTTTGTAATGAGCACAATCCTAAACATTCTTATCATACATAATTGACCTAATGTTATGATTACTGTATTGAGTGAATTTCTTAGTATAGAACGCAATATGCAATATATTACATTGAAACTATGAAACTTGCGTCTGAAATTTAAAGTAAACCTACCTCATACATAAAAATTATTTGCACATGTAAATTTTAAGTGAATACCTTGTAAACAATTATTTATCCAATTTATTCCGTGTTCATTTGGCAACATGGTCAACAGAGTTCCGTCAACACTAAACATTAAAAATATAGGGGATTTGTTACTACCCAGTGACCAAACGATGTTATTTTAACTCTTCAACTTCCCCGCTTTCTGATCAGTTTACTTATTTGATGTTACATGTTAGGATCTGTTTTGTAACCTCTAATTCTTGCTCGCTCTTTATGGGTATCATACTATGCTACTTACTAAAATTTAGTATCTTATGTATTGTCAATCATTTTGCAATGAACAGCTTAAAACACTTAAATTACAATACACTGATATTCCCAAATGTTTTTATGTTACTTTGTCATTGATTCCGTTATATTATCGTAATTTTACTTCCTCATTTATCTTTGTAGTTTGTCTTCATCATACGTGTTTTTCATTGTGAAATTATTTATTTGAAACAACTTCCATATTTAATGTAGCGTGCTCTCAGTTCAATATTGTTGACTGCCATTAGTGCTTTGACACAGTTGTGCACTGTTATTTAGCTTATCGACACATCGTTTTGTGAATTGTAATAATAAGAACTTGTGAACCCGTTGGTATCTCAAAATTTGAGATTCGTGATTTCCATTGTTTATATTATTACTTTCTGTAATGGTATCCTATGGGATTTTAAGCGAGATATAATTGATTCCTTCATTATGGATACATCTTCCTCTGTCCCAGCATGTGAAGAGTTGAATTTCCTTAGTACATTCAGAGATCGTAAACAGTATAAAAAGTGCTAAAGTAAATTAACTTTAAGTCATGATTTCTAGTTTGAATATACACGATCAGGGGCGAGACTATAATTTATGGACGTGCCAATCAGAAGCGTTTGAGGGATTTCAAGGTCATTGCGCTAATTTAAGTACCTGATGTTCACGCACTATCGGTGTACGGCGGATTTTAGAGAGGACGTGATAATTGAGCGGCTACAACAACTGGGATTACTAAGAAGATCCTGTATTTGTGACTGCGGTAATTAGATTACTATTGTACCTTGTTCAAACTACCGTGATGAGAATGTCTCCCGATTTTATTTATGTTTGAGTAAGAAGTCTGCTAGAACATGGATTTTCTTTGCTCGATCTCGATTGAGACTAAAGCGAACCATGATAATTGTTGCGAATCGAATAATAAAAGCACCAGTAACACTGGCTGCAACATTTGCAGATGTTACTGAAAATTCTATTGTTCAATGGTATGAGTATTGTAGAGATAAATGCGCAATTAAAATGACAAGCTTGCACAAGCCGTCTAGAGGAGTTGGAAGAATCGTTGAGATGGACGAAACAGTAGTTAGGAGGTGAAAATTTAACAGAAGACGTAGTATTTAAGAAGACTGGATAATTAGCGCTTCCATAAATGTACCTTACAGGTCCTTGGAATTTAAAACAGGTCAACCCAAAAGAGACACTTCTAACAGGTCATAAACCGACAGATAACGATAATAATACCAATTATACAGGAATATGTACAGCCAGTCATTACAACATATACAGATGGTTGGAGAGCGTACAGATGCCTGTATAGACTTAGTTATATGCATCATGTCTCTCCGAGATTTCAGTAAGCTAGTAATTTCATGACTTCTAAAAGAATGACATATATTATAATTAGTTATTTTCTTATTATATGTTGCCAACTAACTAGTTATCTATGAGATTCGCTTAATAATCTTTATTTTTGTTGTAAATAAGTTAATAATTGCTTATTTCCGGTCTTTATTAAACCTGTTTTTGATTTTAATAAATATGGTTTTTAGAACTACAGTTTACTTTATAACAACTTAATTAATAACAAAAACAACCTTTAACTGTAACATACCTCAATAGAAGTGTTTTATTTAGTTCTCTGCATAAGTATACAAGTTATTATTATTATTGTTATGATTATTATTAATGGCTTTATTCAGTATTATATTTTTGGCACAATATAGAATTCTCAATACAAAGTATTTCAACAAGTTTCCTTTTCTTATTTCTTGATCGACCCTTGCGATAAATATTGAGTGATCGCTAGTTCGATGTTAGCAGTTGAGAAATTGACATTTGATTTATGTATATTCTTTTCGATACATATTCCCAGTGACCACAATGTCGTTGATTGGGCTCTTTTGTAACTTGTACAGTGAAATATCGTAAATTTATTACACAATGGATTGTGTTACTGAGTTACTGCTTAATTATCTAGTGTATTAATTTAAGTTTACTTTAACAGTATTCATAAACTGTTTTATTTGATAATTTGAAACAATGATTAATTCATAAAGGTTCCATAGACAGACTGTTTACAACAGAAAGTTTGTGTTAATGAAAAAAAAGAACATAATTAATCAAAATATGAAGATAAACACAATAAATTCTACTGACAGGTTAAACTTTCAAAAGTTAGCTATTATCTACAATTGTTATGGTGGGATATTGAAGAGATTATTAAAAGTTAGATATTTGTGTGCTGTGCACATTGCCTTAATTCACAAGCATTATACGCAAAGATGGATAGCGACTAGCAGTGGAATCTAGGGCACGCGTTTATTCCTATTTGGGACTCGTCAGCTGGATGTACCTGCATCTCAGAGTTCATGTTCACTCTAGGACTCGAACCCAGTGTCGTTCGCTTCAAACACCATCACATTATCCACTTAGCTACTGGGTTTTGATAGCCACTTGCTTGTGCAACGAGTTGAACTTTAAATTCATTTTGTATTGTTTGTTTATACATCTACCAATAATCATTATCCATCTTTACTTATCCATGACTTGTTTACATCGAATAAGTTCCGGTTATTATTTTACTGATCATAATCATGAAGTATTAAATACAAGACGATTTTAAGTAATTCATATGTTGCATGAGATAATATTCTGGATATTAAAGATTTTTCACAGGACTGTCGATCAACAAGACCATACAGATGGCAAGTCTCATTGATTGAAAATTCGACACAGAGTATTTACTTTATTTTCAAGAATTTGGAGTGTTTTAGAATTAAGTAGTTTGTAGTGGCTTAGCTTGGTTAATCAATCACCTTGATAGCCATTATTATATCAATCTCATGGTGTTTAAATCAAGAGGCAATAAGAAGTGGAGGCTACAGTTTATTAGCGGATAGCACAGACAACAAAGTTAGAGGCACATCGAGCGAATACAAAGCAGATAAAAGAATATGTGTTTGCGAGCGAGTACAGAGGTAAATCTATAGTCAGATCGAATAAGGTGCAGCTAGACAACGCAAAAGCTAATAATAGGAATCGAGTACATATATACATGGAAAAGAGAATGATTCATCAAGCGATATTTAATTTATCAACATTTTAGCTAGAGAGAGATATGTGCGTAGGCTGTCGTTTGACCAAGCGTACACCTTTATACAGACAAGATAATGATTATAATAGTACAAAGAAATATGCGAATTGTTACTATTCTAGTAACATTGTCTGTTAAGTGAGTTAATAAAAGGATTTAACAAAATTTAACCATAATCGATGTTGATTGTAGGAGAGTTGCTATAATTTAAGTGACCGGAGAAATACACTTTGATTCGTATGATTAACAAAACAATATAATTTCCATTGTCTTTATCAAAAGGGTTCGTAACAAAGATCATTTTCACATGTAAAAGACTATTAATTCATTTAACTGATCTTTTCCCATTAGTAGATTTCATCTGTACTTCCTGGATGTTTGAAAAAAAGGCAGTTAAACATAGTTTATTTTTAATTTGATATCAACCAGACTCATGTAATTATTGACATTAAATTAAGTTGTAGGCATCGCTGAGGAGTCCCATACTGGGACGAAATACTTGTCCAGTGCTTTCAGGTTTTCCATGACGATCTAGCTTCAATTGACTCATGAATTCAACTATTAAATTCACGAATAATTAAAAATGGTTGTTTATGTTTTCAGTTTCATATCTCCGTTGAGTTAAAAATAGTCAGTACAAATTGCAGTTTTGTAATTGTATACCGTGATATTAATCTACGGGAAATTTACTCCTGTTGAAGGCTTGCTGAAGTCAAATTAAAAGGAATCAAACGATATCAGTCATACTGCTCTCATTCAGTGATGTGAAATCTTCCTTGATGGTGTAGTGATGATCAATGACAAAACATTTTAAGTTAAGCATATATATATATATATCTTAGTGATAAGTTTTATTGGTTAAAAAGATTTTAATGAAGATACTAACTTGATGAATCAGTAAACTCTATTTTAGTCATTAATACCGATACAATCATCTATAACTCTTTTAAAAACAATGGAGTTCTTCATGTACTTCAATACACTACTGAGATGAGAAGCAGCTGAATGAAAAGTTTTATTCAAGAACCAAAATGAGTAGGATCTGGTAATTCGGGAAATTATTTATCATTTGATTAAACAAAGAAATTCAGAAAGACAATACTAAGTAAATATGATTATTCTATGAAGAAAGAAAATGCATTTTTTTAATATATCGTCATAACTGTTAGTAAAAGTAGTTAATTTATTGATTTTGTAAATAGCGTACATACACGAAATTATAAAAAAAATAATTTCAACTACTACTGGGAGAGTGAGTGAAGGACAGAGTTGGCAGAAGATCCCTGGGTGAGATTATAATTTATGGACAATCTAATCAGATTTAGAATAATCAGTCTTGGATTTTGGCGTGAAGTTCATTTATCCATTCGCCTAAATAGAGTTTTGGTAGTTTAACTGATGTCAGTTAGTGTTGAAAACTCTAAATCTAATCCCTAACGCTAACCATCAAATCGTGATTTTAACTCCTCTTACTAGTTTATGACCGTCATACCAGTACTTTGTCAAGTCATTAGAGGATAAAATCTATTGTTAATATTGGAAGTCATTTATTCATCATTCTATTTAAACAGAATATCATATTCACTTGATATTGTTTTATTTGAATCTTCCCATTGATGTTTTTGGACTGAAATTGATCAGTCTCTTATTGGAATATGTGCGTACTGTGCGTATGCCTCGATATTGCCTTAATTTACAAGCATTATAAGCAAAGATGGATGGTGGCTAGCAGTGGAATCCAGGACGCGCGTTTCGTCCTGTTTGGGACTCGTCAGCTGGATGTACTTGCATCTCAGAGTTGATGTTCACTCTGGGACTCGAACTCAGTACCGTTCGCTTCAAACGCCATCGCGTTATCCACTTAGCTACTGAGTCCTGATAGCCACTTGCTTGTGCAATATATATATATATATATATATATATATATATATATATATATATATATAACACCATTGGATACCAGCTCAGTGGTCTAGAGGTTAAGTATTCACACGCGAGACCGAAGACTGGGTTCAAATCCCGAGAGCGGTATCATGGATATGCATGTCTGAATGATCTCATACTCGAACGAAACGGCCTTCCATTACTTCCAAGTTTTCATTGGTGCTCTAACATCGATCAATTCATAATCGCAACCAAAAAAATAACCAAATTTATTTATTTAGAATCGAAGTTGATTTTTCATTTTATATAAATTCTTTTTAGTTCCTGATCAATAATGAATTATTTCTGTCATTATTTTGTTTGCTTGTTTTGTTTTATAGAATAACAGTTTACCATGGTATGAAAACAATTTCAAAGTCTAAGTTATATACATATTAATCTATGCATTACTGAACGAATATTTTTCCTTAGTGAATGTATATATATATAGAACAGGAAATATATATTCTCAGACTAAAAACTG